ACTAAACATTGGACGGTTATCATTACTGTCCAGAACAATAATAGAAACATTTAGTGTGCCTGATCGTTGAGGTTTTCCTCCATCAACTGCTGTAACCAGCAGCGTGTGTTTGTCCTTTTGTTCTCTGTCTAACGATTTCTTCAGCACTAAAATTGGTATTTTATCCTCATCGCTTTGACGGATGTCTACTTCAAAATGCTCATTTGAAGTCAAAGTGTATGTACGAATAGAGTTAATTCCAGCATCGGGATCACGAGCAGTGTGCAGTTGAAATCGCCTTCCTGGTAATGTTTGTTCACCTATTTCAAATTTCTGTTCTTTTTCTGGGAAACTGGGAGAGTGGTCATTTACATCAGTAATTTCTACTATTACATAGTGCATTTCCAAAGGGTTTTCGACCAGGATTTTTAGCTCCATCAGGCAGGCACCACTACCCTGACAGAGCTCCTCTCTGTCGATTTTCTTCAGCACATACAGAGCCCCATTGTCCTGGTTTACCTCAAAATACGTGTCCTTAGATCCAGACACAACACGGAACCGTCGGTCATTCAAAGAGGTGATGTCAAGGCCAAGATCCTTCGCAACATTTCCAACAACAGTTCCGTCCTCGACCTCCTCTGCGATAGAGTACCTTATCTGAGCAAACGCTTGTTTTCCGAAAAAAATCAGTACAGCCAAATGAAAGACAATTGAATAGTACCCGCTGTGTCGACTTTGTCTATCGGTCCCCATCATTAAACTAAAACTTAGAGAAAAGACAAGAAAGGGCTTTACTGCGATATAAAAAATATTTATGTCTAACCCCATGAGTAGCTTATCGCATAGTTACAAAATGCATGACATGAATTCATCGGCTTGCGAGATAGATTAAAATGCCTGCCCTGTTGTGGATGACAAACAAAAGCGCTTTAAGGGGTGGGACAAAGTGTTACATCGTTTCCTGCTGTTACAGTGACACCCGGAGGTAATCAAAAGAAAGTAATACATTACTAATACATTAGTAATACATAACTTCTCTTATGCCTCTAACATTATTATTGCTTGATTACTTGTTTTTTTTTTTTTGTTCTGTTTGAGCATAAATAGTGAATGTACTTCAATAACCATGGAAAGCAGTCATAATCAGGCTCATAGTGTATTTCTCATTCAAATGTACCTCAGTATTTAAACTCGCACAACAGAAATTTCCACTGTCCACTGTTTAGAGCTGTGGCTGTCAAAAACAAACTACTGTAGTATTCCCAAACAAGTTCTAAGTATTGTATTTTTCTTGATTACAGAAAAAATAAAAAGCATTTCAGAACCATGGACAGCAGCCACAATCAGGCAAAGACTGTATTTGTTAGAATTTGCTTGCCTTACCTCTCCAGATCCCCTCCTCCTGTCAGGGAGCACTAGTGTATTCGCGTGGCTGCCCGGGACTATAGTAGATCCTATACTCATTCTGGGTCCAACTAACATGTACCGTTTCTCTCCAGATCTGTACTGGATGCTGTGGCACAGTGTCCCGTCATAATTAGTCTCTTGCAGATATTTAGAAGTATAGTCTGTGGTTTTGGAGCACTGCATTGCAATCAGCACGATGATACTGATGAGAAAAAGTACAGAAACTGAGCCCAAAGTTATCATCAGATAAAAAGTCACGTCGGTCCCCTCCTCATCTTTGGCTGAACTTTTAACATCAGAAGCTGCAAAAGCCTCTTTGGGCTCCACAAGTTTGACCACCACAGTAGCTGTTGCTGAGAGCGACACGTTCCCATTGTCTTTGACCAACATGAGCAGTTTGTGCTCAGCCTCGTCTGTCTCTGTGAAGGAGCGAAGTGTTCTGATCTGTCCTGTATAGCGGTCCAAACCAAAGAGACTGTGGTCAGTGACTTGCTGCAGTGAAAAGAGTAACCAGCCGTTATATCCTATATCAGCGTCATAGGCTCTGACTTTAGTCACCAAGTGTCCTGCGTTCACATTGCGGGGAATCTCCTCCACACCTTCAGCAGAACCGTTAGAGCTGACTGGATACAGGATGACTGGAGCGTTGTCGTTCTGATCCAGAATGAACACGTTCACTGTGACGTTGCTGCTCAGTGACGGAGTTCCAGAATCGGAGGCAACAACTTGGAACTGGAACGTTTTCAGAGTTTCAAAGTCGAAACTTTTTAGCGCTGATATTTGTCCGGTTTCAGAGTTTATATTTATAAAAGATGCCATGTCGTTATGACCGCCTCCCCCTCTAATTATACGATAGGACACTGCAGCATTGTCGTATAAGTCTTTATCAAATGCACTTACAGAAAATATTGATGCGCCAGGAGCATTGTTTTCCGTTAAATATAATTCCAGGGGACTGTGTGAGAACTCTGGCTTGTTGTCATTCACATCTGACACCTGAATGCTCAAAGTTTTGAATGTGGAAAGTGGAGGCTCACCATAGTCCGTAGCTGTTATTGTGATGTCATAATGCGAAACTGATTCTCGATCCAAATGTTCTTTCAAAACTAAAGAGTACATATTATCTTGAAATGAGGGTTTTAAATCGAATGGCACATTATTTGAAAGACTACATTTTACTTTACCATTGAAACCGGAGTCTTGGTCCGTGATACTAATAAGAGAAACCACTGTCCCAGTTTTTGAGTCTTCAGATACCGTGTTTGACAGAGATGTCACTTCTATTAGAGGTTTGTTGTCGTTTTTGTCGAGCACTTTGATGATTACACTGCAATCCGTGCTCATTGGAGGATGTCCTTTGTCAGTGGCATGGACGTCTAACTTATAAACGTCAGCCTTTTCAAAATCGATTTCTCCCTTTACTCGAATTTCACCAGTGTCTTTATCTAAGCTAAACATTTCATATATCTTCAGGTCAAGCTGGCCGCCGAAAAAATATTCAATATCTCCGTTTGCACCTTCATCCACATCACTTGCCTTTACCTTAATTACACTTGTATCTGCGTCTACGTTTTCAGGTACTGTTACTGAATATACTTCTTGGCTAAATGTAGGATGGTTATCATTTGAATCGAGAACGACGACTGTGACATTAAGCGTCCCTGATCTCGGTGGATTTCCTCCGTCCACTGCTGTCAGAATCAGCATGTGCTCATTGTGCTTTTCCCGATCCAGAGACTTTTGCAGAACCAAGAATGGTATCTTGTCCTCTCCTCTCTCTCGGATTTGTATATTAAAATAGTCGTTTTGGTTTAATTTGTACACGCGCACAGTATTGACGACAACATCTGGATCGTGCGCAGTCGGTAACTGGAAACGTTTGCCAGGGACAGTGGACTCAGATATTTCTAATATTTTTTCTTCCTCCTTAAAGCTCGGCGAATTATCATTTACATCTATGATTTCAACTCCCACATAATGTATTTCCATGGGGTTCTCAGCTACCATTTTTAGGTTCATTAAACATGGAGAAACGCTTTCACAGAGCTCCTCTCGATCGATGTTCTTATGCACATACAATACGCCATTGTTCTGATTTACTTCAAACTGAGCATCTTTAGTTCCCGAAACAATACGAAACCGTCGTTCCTCCAGCGAACTGATGTCCAGTCCTAGATCCTTGGCGACATTTCCAACAACAGATCCCACTTTTACTTCCTCTGGAACAGAATATTTTATCTGGGATGAAACCCGCTCCACACAGCTGAGCATCACAGACAAACTGAAGGCTAGCCACCAGGATTGTATTCCTCGTCTTTGTCCTCCGGCTCCCATCGTTTCTGTTTTGATCATTGTTTACGGGTCTTTACTAAGAGGAAAATTACCTAAACCACAAAAAAACTGTTGAAATATATTCCATGTTGTGAAAGTATCTATTTATATGTGCAACAACGGGAACACTCGCTTCAGTGGAAGGTACTGTCTCTTTTCTGTCGATCTGAACAAAACCTGTCTGGAAGGGGCAGGGCCAACGCTGTAACACAACAGTTTATGCTGATATGACACCGACACCTTGTGGACTGGCCACATTATGACCTGCTTTTAAAGCAAACGGAGTCATAAAAGACGATATTTTTTGTTTGCAAATTGTGATTTCTTAACTACAAATTATTTATATTTTTGCTATTTTTTTGAATGCAGGTTATACTTTTTTAGATTTAAATAGTGAATTGTCCACACCCTTCCTTGTAGCTCGTCTCCTTTCATATCGCTATAGTATGTTAATCAATGATTAGACTCTGAAACTTGTTTATGTCGCACACTATAACAGTGAAAATCGTGTTGGAATTAATGGTTGTTCATTCATTGTTACGTTATTGCTTTGTGACAGTGCACTGTAAGCAAACTATGCACTGAATTCCCCTATCATAAATGTATGCACACTGGCTGCACTGTACTATACAACATTGATTAAGCAAGTTTCAAGGTGTGCTAATACACTTTCATAATGCAAATGAATAGGAACCGGCAGATTCCTGGAATAGATACAATATACATTAATAAAAAAAAAAATCAATGAAAAACTTGGTGATGTGTAATAAATGCCACGGCTTTGGTCATCGAAATCCATAAATTAATTCCATAAAGTTTTAAAAGCAAACATACGATCTAACTTGAAAATCACGTGGTTGTCAGCACCATGGACAGCGCTACAAAATACGCCATTATGTTGTTAGGGCTTTCCTCGTGAACTAGCCTGAAACTATTGCTTTACATAAAGTCATATCCGAACTGAAACTTAAATCACAACTTCAAAATCCCCACAGTATGACAAACACTTCAACACCTTAGATGGTGCAAGGATATAAACCATGGATAGCGCCACGAAATAATTATGTTAGTAGCCTGAACACATTTTCTAATTTCGAGAGAGGCATTAACAGACATAGGTAAGACTTAAATGAAAAAGGCACAAAACATTAAGACATTTTACTGTGGGCCACATAGTAAATATTCATTGTTTTATATGTTTCTAAAAGTAATTATGACTGTTAGAAGGAAATAAACATAATTTTACCCGCAGTAAATTATCTGTGAGTGCATGAAAATTACCTTTAATTAAAATCGAAACATGAGCTTACCTCTCCAGATCCCCTCCTCCTGTCAGGGAGCACTAGTGTATTCGCGTGGCTGCCCGGGACTATAGTAGATCCTATACTCATTCTGGGTCCAACTAACATGTACCGTTTCTCTCCAGATCTGTACTGGATGCTGTGGCACAGTGTCCCGTCATAATTAGTCTCTTGCAGATATTTAGAAGTATAGTCTGTGGTTTTAGAGCACTGCATTGCAATCAGCACGATGATACTGATGAGAAAAAGTACAGAAACTGAGCCCAAAGTTATCATCAGATAAAAAGTCACATCGGTCCCCTCCTCATCTTTGGCTGAACTTTTAACATCAGAAGCTGCAAAAGCCTCTTTGGGCTCCACAAGTTTGACCACCACAGTAGCTGTTGCTGAGAGCGACACGTTCCCATTGTCTTTGACCAGTATGAGCAGTTTGTGCTCAGCCTCGTCTGTCTCTGTGAAGGAGCGAAGTGTTCTGATCTGTCCTGTATAGCGGTCCAAACCAAAGAGACTGTGGTCAGTGACTTGCTGCAGTGAAAAGAGTAACCAGCCGTTATATCCTATATCAGCGTCATAGGCTCTGACTTTAGTCACCAAGTGTCCTGCGTTCACATTGCGGGGAATCTCCTCCACACCTTCAGCAGAACCGTTAGAGCTGACTGGATACAGGATGACTGGAGCGTTGTCGTTCTGATCCAGAATGAACACGTTCACTGTGACGTTGCTGCTCAGTGACGGAGTTCCAGAATCGGAGGCAACAACTTGGAACTGGAACGTTTTCAGAGTTTCAAAGTCGAAACTTTTTAGCGCTGATATTTGTCCGGTTTCAGAATTTACATTCAGGAAAGATGTCATATCACCCTGCAGCCCATCACCTCGCACAATGTGGTACGTTATCACTGCATTTTCATTAAGGTCATTATCAGCAGCACTTACGGAAAGTATTGATGCGCCCGGGACATTGTTTTCTACCAGATAAAGTTCAAGTGGATTCTGGCTGAACATTGGTCTGTTGTCATTTACATCAGACACCTGGACGCTCAAGGTTTTTATAGTGGACAGTGGAGGTTCACCGCTGTCGGTAGCTGTTATTGCGATGTCATAGTAGGACACAGTTTCTCGATCTAAACGCCCCTTCGTGACAAGAGAAAACATGTTTTCCTCAATGGATGGCGTCAAATCAAACGGAACACTATTCGATATTTTACAAATAACTTTCCCATTAACCCCAGAATCTCTGTCCGTAACACTGATGAGAGAGATAACGGTGCCAGGCTTTGAATCTTCTCGTACTACATTAGACAATGATGTTACTTCGATATCTGGCGTATTGTCGTTCAAATCTTTTATTTTTATCACAACTCTACTTTCAGCGGTCCAGGGTGGCTGTCCTTTATCTGAAGCTTGCAAATCTAGTCTATAAATCTCCGTGTCCTCAAAGTCCACTTTTCCTTTGACTCGAATCTCACCAGTGACCCTGTCCAATTCAAATGTGTCATGCACTTTTTTCTTTTGTGTTTTTCCAAACGTGTATTCAATTTCACTGTTGGAACCTTCGTCTAAATCTGTAGCGTTTAATGTTATTACAAGAGCTCCAATCGGTGCATTTTCATCTAATGACACAGTAAATGTATCTTTGCTGAACACAGGGCGATTATCATTTGCATCAAGCACACTGATCGTTAAATTAAGGCTCCCAGATTTCGGTGGACTGCCACCATCAAGAGCAGTTAACACAAAATGGTGTTCTGCCTTTTGCTCCCTGTCCAAAGGCTTTTTCAGCACTAAAACCGGTATCTTTTCTTCCTCGTTTTCTCTGATTTCAGTATCAAAAAATTCATTTGGGCTCAATTTATATAATCGGACCGAATGTGCACCGACATCAGGGTCTCTAGCAGCATGAATTTGGAAGCGGGTACCTGGAGGAGTATGCTCTGCTATTTCCAATCGCTGCTCGCTTTCTGGGAAAGTCGGTGAATGGTCATTAACATCCGTTATTTCAACACCGACGTAATGTATTTCCAGTGGGCTTTCAACAACAATTTTCAGGTTTATCACACAAACCTTGATTCCATCACAGAGCTCCTCCCGGTCCGTATTTTTTCCAATATACAACACGCCATTGTTTTGATTTAACTGAAACAGGGCATGATTGGGCCCCGAAACAATACGAAACCGCCTGTCTGTCAAAGTGCTAATGTCAAGGCCTAAATCCTTTGCAACATTTCCAACAGGGGATCCCACGTGTACTTCTTCTGGAACAGAGTATCTTAGCTGAGCCCAAATCCGCTCACCAAAGCACAGCAACAAAATCCCGACAATCCACCAGCAATTCACTCGGCGCCTTTGTCCCCGTTCTCTCATCGTGAAGGAAAAAGATGAATACTTTCTTTGAGGCAATTACAATGACCCAACCGCTCATCGAACCAGTCCAATTAGATCCATATCACGATTCTCAAATCAAAGCTTTCACACAGAAAGACGCTATTCATGTTACTTAATACACAGGCTATGATGTGTACTCCGCCAGCATCCACATCCATCACATATGATCCAGAGATGGGCAGGGCCTGTACAGAATGAGCAACACAACCATTAGGCCACACCGGCACCATGTGGCCAGTGGGCTGCAATACAATACTATGTCACACGTTTTTTTTAAGTTCACTACCTCGTTCTCTCAGGACTTACATTGCAATCGACTTCTATGCCTCCATGCAGCCCAGCCCAGTGTTAGAGGAAACGCAATGAGCTGAATAAAACGCCTCAATACTCTCACTTTGTGGGTGTTGCCTCCTCCAGCAAGTCAACTACATGTTTGGTATGTTTCTCAGCAACCTCCAAACAGCGTGCGACTCACATGTGTGGTCATTGGACAATTACTAGGACAAACAATAAAACCTGTAAGGCAATTTAACCCGATCAACTTGTATGAGTACATGTTGTGGCATCGAGGCAAGACGGAAAATGAGACACACATTATACATTTTCTCCACAGCTCGATTGTGTTCAATACACGCTGGACGTAAGGGTAATGAGTGATACAAACTTTGTTAAGAACAATAGGTTGAGTGATTATTTACTTATGTCTACCTGTCATTAACTGTATTACGAAATATATTTTAGTTCAGCACCATGGACAGCACACTTTGACACCAGCAGGGTCAAAACCGCAAGTGCAAAAAATAGTATGTCTCCAGGTGGACGATAATGACAAAAGAGATCCTTAAATTAGCATATAAAGCAAATATAGACATTTACTCACCTCTCCAGATCCCCTCCTCCTGTCAGGGAGCACTAGTGTGTTCGCGTGGCTGCCCGGGACTATAGTAGATCCTATACTCATTCTGGGTCCAACTAACATGTACCGTTTCTCTCCAGATCTGTACTGGATGCTGTGGCACAGTGTCCCGTCATAATTAGTCTCTTGCAGATATTTAGAAGTGTAGTCTGTGGTTTTGGAGCACTGCATTGCAATCAGCACGATGATACTGATGAGAAAAAGTACAGAAACTGAGCCCAAAGTTATCATCAGATAAAAAGTCACGTCGGTCCCCTCCTCATCTTTGACTGAACTTTTAACATCAGAAGCTGCAAAAGCCTCTTTGGGCTCCACAAGTTTGACCACCACAGTAGCTGTTGCTGAGAGCGACACGTTCCCATTGTCTTTGACCAGTATGAGCAGTTTGTGCTCAGCCTCGTCTGTCTCTGTGAAGGAGCGAAGTGTTCTGATCTGTCCTGTATAGCGGTCCAAACCAAAGAGACTGTGGTCAGTGACTTGCTGCAGTGAAAAGAGTAACCAGCCGTTATATCCTATATCAGCGTCATAGGCTCTGACTTTAGTCACCAAGTGTCCTGCGTTCACATTGCGGGGAATCTCCTCCACACCTTCAGCAGAACCGTTAGAGCTGACTGGATACAGGATGACTGGAGCGTTGTCGTTCTGATCCAGAATGAACACGTTCACTGTGACGTTGCTGCTCAGTGACGGAGTTCCAGAATCTGAGGCAACAACTTGGAACTGAACGTTTTCAGAGTTTCAAAGTCGAAACTTTTTAGCGCTGATATTTGTCCGTTTTCAGAGTTTATGTTGAGGAAAGACATTATATCATTTTGGCTCCCTTCTCTCACAATGTGATATGAAATAACTGCGTTGTCATTTAAGTCTTTGTCCGTTGCGCTCACGGAGAATATCGACGCTCCAGCTACGTTATTTTCTATCAGATAAAACTGTAATGTATTTTGAGAGAATTGCGGTCTGTTGTCATTTACATCTGATATCTGGATGCTCAGAGTTTTAACAATAGATAAGGGAGGTTCACCACAGTCGGTGGCTTTTATTGTTATTTCATAATGTGACACCTCCTCTCGATCCAAAAATCGCTTTGTGACAACTGAGTACGTGTTTTCCTTGTAAGAGGGCTTTAGTTCAAAAGGTACGTCGTTGGATATGTGCGAAATAATTTTTCCATTGACACCTGTGTCTCTATCCGTCAGGCTAATAAGTGAAATAACTGTTCCAGGCTTCGAGTCTTCAGACACTGTATTTGAGAGCGATGTGACTTCTATTTCTGGTGGATTATCATTAACGTCTAATATCTTTATAATGACTCTACACTCACCGGTTAATGGAGGTGTCCCTTTATCTGATGCCTCAACGTCCAGTTCATATACGTCGTTTTCTTCATAGTCCACTACACCTTTTATTCTAATCTCTCCAGTTAATTTGTCCAACTCAAAAATATCATACACTTTCTGCCTCAGGGTTTTTCCAAGGCTGTATTCAACTTCGCTGTTGATGCCTTCATCTGGATCAGTTGCATTCATTCTAAACACTGAAGTACCGACGGGAACATTTTCCTGTATTGCAATTTGATAACTCTCCTGACTAAACATTGGACGGTTATCATTACTGTCCAGAACAATAATAGAAACATTTAGTGTGCCTGATCGTTGAGGTTTTCCTCCATCAACTGCTGTAACCAGCAGCGTGTGTTTGTCCTTTTGTTCTCTGTCTAACGATTTCTTCAGCACTAAAAATGGTATTTTACCCGCATCGCTTTCACGAATATTTACTTCAAAATGCTCATTTGACGTCAAAGTGTATGTACGTATTGAGTTAATTCCAGCATCGGGATCACGAGCAGTGTGTAGTTGAAATCGCCTTCCTGGTAATGTTTGTTCACCTATTTCAAATCTCTGTTCTCTCTCAGGAAAAGCAGGAGAATGATCATTTACATCGGTGATTTCTACGATTACATAGTGTATTTCCAAAGGGTTTTCAACAAGGATTTTTAGCTCTATTAGACAAGCACCGCTCCCCTGACAGAGCTCCTCTCTGTCAATATGCTTTTGAACGTACAATGCCCCATTGATCTGGTTTACTTCAAAGAAAGGGTCCTTACTTCCAGACACCACGACTCGGAACCGTCGATCATTCAAAGAGGTGATGTCAAGGCCAATATCCTTCGCAACATTTCCAACAACAGTTCCCTCTTCTACCTCCTCTGGAATAGAGTACCTTGTCTGAGCCAAAGCCTGTTTTCCGAAAAGCAGCAGTAGTGCCAAAAGAAACCAGGAGCAGTCCGTTGTTCGAGTTTTCGTGCTGGTCCCCATCGTTATCCAACAACACGTATACACACAGGAGCCTTTACCGTCACAAACAATTATTTATGTCCATCCCGTGGAGTATCGCATCTTTAAAGAACACACAACGTGATTTCATCGGCTGTTGTGGTTGATTCAAGTGTTTCTTTGCTCTGCTCAGATGGGAAACAAAAGATATGTGAGGGGAGGGACAAAGTCGTGTCTGGTTTCACTTTATAATAGTGACACCCAGAGGTGATTACTGAAACCAGACTTTGCTGCATACTCGTTTTTTTTAAAACAAAAATGTCCCTTCTTCTAGATGGCTTTCTCCCACCAAGAGTCGCATCAAATGATCATTAAAATAATAGCGTTCAATACGTTCATTTTACATTACATTGCTGTTTGACGTGCCCATGTATTTCGGCACCATGGACAGCAAGCACAAGTCGTAGCACAGCCTTCCCCTCTAATTTAATCTATATATACTGCTCAAACAACTCAACAGTAACATCGCAAAATCTTCAAACGTCTCAGTCATTTTTTGGTTAGAAGTTAGAATATTTTAAGGCCCAACTGTCAAAAACTCAATGCCCAAAACACAAATACAGAGTATAATTACTCTGTTTTGCTGAAGAAAAAGTAAACCTTTTATTTCAGCACCAAGGACAATGGTAACACAGACTGTCCTCTTTACAAATGATGAGCTGTATACAATATGTCGTATGTATCTGTAATAATCATGAGTGTGTCTGTACACGAACAATAGTGGCTGTGTTTGACGGAGCTATCTAGCCATGCACAGCATTCTGCTACATTGACTGAAGTTTCTCTTTCAATGCAAACGACCACTTTCTCTGATAAATGAGATAATAAAATTAACTCTAACGCAACATACCTAACAAAACGTATCTTAATGTGTTGGTATTTATGTTTGGTACTGCTGTCTCTGCATAAAGAAACGATAAGAGGAAAACTTTGTGCAAAACACAAACCATTGACTGTATGCTTGTAACCATGTTTTATAAAACTTTTAAATTTTTAAAGTTTTAAATGCCTTACCTCTCCAGATCCCCTCCTCCTGTCAGGGAGCACTAGTGTGTTCGCGTGGCTGCCCGGGACTATAGTAGATCCTATACTCATTCTGGGTCCAACTAACATGTACCGTTTCTCTCCAGATCTGTACTGGATGCTGTGGCACAGTGTCCCGTCATAATTAGTCTCTTGCAGATATTTAGAAGTATAGTCTGTGGTTTTAGAGCACTGCATTGCAATCAGCACGATGATACTGATAAGAAAAAGTACAGAAACTGAGCCCAAAGTTATCATCAGATAAAAAGTCACATCGGTCCCCTCCTCATCTTTGGCTGAACTTTTAACATCAGAAGCTGCAAAAGCCTCTTTGGGCTCCACAAGTTTGACCACCACAGTAGCTGTTGCTGAGAGCGACACGTTCCCATTGTCTTTGACCAGTATGAGCAGTTTGTGCTCAGCCTCGTCTGTCTCTGTGAAGGAGCGAAGTGTTCTGATCTGTCCTGTATAGCGGTCCAAACCAAAGAGACTGTGGTCAGTGACTTGCTGCAGTGAAAAGAGTAACCAGCCGTTATATCCTATATCAGCGTCATAGGCTCTGACTTTAGTCACCAAGTGTCCTGCGTTCACATTGCGGGGAATCTCCTCCACACCTTCAGCAGAACCGTTAGAGCTGACTGGATACAGGATGACTGGAGCGTTGTCGTTCTGATCCAGAATGAACACGTTCACTGTGACGTTGCTGCTCAGTGACGGAGTTCCAGAATCGGAGGCAACAACTTGGAACTGGAACGTTTTCAGAGTTTCAAAGTCGAAACTTTTTAGCGCAGATATTGTGCCATTTGCTTCATTTATATTTAGAAAAGAGGTTAC